CAGCAGGTGCCTTGTTTTCTTCATGCTTTAAATGCTGCTCTGCTTTTTGCGCTCTCTAATGCAAACTACTTGGAGGTGGGAAAACCTGTATGTTTTCAGACATTTCTTTTTATAAGTGAAAAAGTAGAATTTGTTCGTAACATCTTGTTTGTCTCAACATTGAAACTGTAACTTTGTCCTGAAAAGAGCGCATATATTATGTATAGTACTTGGAGAAGCATGAAACCACGATTGATGATGTGTTTAAGTAAACACAGGAGCCTAAGGAGCGCAATGTCATCAAATCGTGAAAAATAATGGAAAACAGCATAGTTGTCTTTATTAGTCTTTGAATGCAGTGCACTTTGTTAATCTGTTGTTAACCACATGGATTGTTTTTTGATCATTCATCCCAATGGTGGGTAGTGGGAAATGTGTTCTCAGTTGAGAGGGACTGAAGCTGATCTAATGCAAAAACAAAGCTCAGGTTCTTTCTACTATTTGTTTAATGCAGTTATAAACAAAGACTGTAAGACACTTATATTAAGAAATATTAATGTGGTAAATATTTGTACTCTGTGAAATTTGTAAATATTTGTAAATAGCACGTTTGAAAATATCGACACAGTTTTGCTATAGTTCCTATCTCTGAGTTGATTTGTAGAAGGACTTTCCAATGTCATTCCCTTGCAACATAACATCGAAGGGAATTATCTAAATTACTTTTGATAAAATAAGTTACTTAGTTCATGAAGACTCTTGATATGTTTGAGTATGCTGTCTCATAGGTCGGCTCTCTTTTAGGATGCAGTACTTTGATAACACAATTCTGAACTCAGCATATGGATCATAATTACAGGAACCTCAAACACTTGAGAGAAATGCACTCTCCGTTGTTTTAAACAGATACGTATTCAAAATATTATACAATGTATGGCCTGTACAGTTACATAAAATCCTATTTAGAGGAACTTTAATTTAGAAGACAAACTCTTACCAGGAAAATTTAGTCTTACCATACATATATTGTCTAAAGGCCATCTGAAATGTGTACTAAAGTTTAGTGGCCTGAGTTGGACCATTAGAAGAACACCATTTGGCTTCTACCCTTATTCTGGAAGAGCTGCTATTGGCTTCAAAAAGAATTCCTCCAGATTTGCCAGGATCATTACATGCATTAAATGTTCTGTTCTTTAGACTATCTGTTCTCAGACTATCCTCGGCTTCATAGCACCTGCAGTTAAGTAATGTGACATCTGCCACGTATGGTTTATTATCTCTCATCAGACCTTTTTTGGGAATATAACTGTCTCACATCTTCTTTTGGAAAGGGTTTGTCTTCTTGGTTTTTTTTAAACCTTGAAGACAGTAATCAATTAATTGCATGTTGCATGTATGGCAGAAGGTTTGCATTGGCCCTGAATTCTTTGGGGAATTATTTCCACAGCCCCAGCCCCTTCTCTCCTAAAAAAGTTTAGGGTTTTTTTGCTGGATTGCTCATTTGGGCCGTAGCAACAGAACTGTTAACCTTAGTCTACTTTCTTGAGTTTCAGATGTTGTTCTAGATATAGTAGATCTGTGGAAAAATGCCTTGAAGGCAAGAACCAAAAATACAATGATTACTACAATAAACTATAACCAAAATACATAATAACTAAAACTTTAAACTTGACTTAATAATGTCTAGGATTGCAATCCAGGTAGTAGAGAACAGACTTTATATGCTTGCAGTAATCCACACTGCTGAGGCAATCTTCTGCATTAGCGGGACTTTCTTAAGGGATGATGGCATCCTGACCTTGGTACTTTGCGTTGCTGTGGTTCTGATGGGAAGTGGCCTGTATAATTCAGTCAAGTCATTGTCTGCCAAATAGAACAAAGTCTGAAGCCAATAGGGGATGATTGAAAACACTATCCATAAATGCTACTACTTCTTAAGAACATTATGTCACCAAGAAGCTGGGAGCTCTCCTAAAGTAAGGATAAAATGACCTATTTTGGTGTTTCCTCCAAAGGAAAGTGCACCATGACTACAGACTCTTCAAAGTACTTGCCTATATTCAATAGTATCACCTGCTTTGCAAAAATCTCAGATGTTTTCATCAGGGAGTTGATCTCAGGCACCAGGCTTTCTTGTGGTAGCAGTACGGTGGTGTGTTTAGAAGTACGACACGAGATATTACTAGGTAAATATTCAGTGTGTTTATTGAATTAACTCCGCAGTGATGCAGACAGAAAACTGTACTTCTACTGGAAGACTCCAGAACGCATTGCGAACAGGGGGAAAAAAAAAAAATTACAGGATAGCAAAGCTAATTTACTGTTTCTTGTGGAAAACGTAATTGACGTTGCCTGGTGATACAGGAGAAGTAACGCTTGCCAACATTTCTGTCCTCAAAGTTAAGACAAAAAGATCCTAATCCCCCTGAGCAGCTGCTATCCAGGAATTAACCACAGGAATTCACCCCCTCATGTCATTTCTGGAATGAATCTTGGTCATATAATAGCTAATCGGAAGATTAAGGAATGAGAGTCAATCAATTATCTGAAAATCAAGTACAATGTTATTTAACTTTTAGAATGCTCAAGCAAAATAGGGTGGTAACATTTGCTCTGTGTGAGGTCTGATGTATAACTCTGTCCTGCCTGGGAGATAGGACAACTGTTCTATTCTGAATTTCAGTAAATCGATAATGTATTTACCCTGGAGTATATTAAAGCAGTTTTAAGCGAAAGCTGAAATACTTATTTGAATGAAGCTTTTTCTGTTGAATCTCTACTTTGAAAATTACCTTAAAGTTGACAATGGCTTTGGTCTTTTTTAGAAATGTAAACTAATTTCCTGCTTCAATTTTTAAAGTCGTATGTGAATCCATCAAACTGCAGTGGTTTAAACTAACTGTACTCTGGAAAATATGTAAAACTTCCAAACATTTATTGCAACATGCCTAATAATGATTATGCCTGCTGCTGACTAATTTACAACATCTGTAAGATCATCCTTTAATCTCTAGCCACATGAAAGTAAAACGGGTAGACTAAAGGTAAGATAACTCCTGGAATGCGCAGGAAAGCATAGCATACTAAATTGGTTTATCAACAAAATGAATAGCGCAAAGAAGAAGAAACAGAAGACGACACAATAGACAAAATTCTTTACGTTGAATATTGTCATCTGTTTTGTGTACTCTGTCATATCTAGTTTGAGAAAGGCAGTATAATTTTGATGTTAACAGAAGAAAAACCAGTGAAATAAGTAATTGCATTAAGCCGTATTTGATATACAAGCATTTATGTCTAAAAATCGTATGCTTAGGAGATTGTTCAGCTGTCGGGTTGAACATATGCTTCTTCTGTATTATAGTGCTGGATTATGTCATTAAAGAGTTCGGTTTCAATTTTAGGGTAATATGTAAATAGATCATTGTACTAAGGCAGCTGTTAAAGGGACCCCAAGATGAGTTATTTGTTTAGTTGGATGTGTTCAACAATAGCCTTTGTTCGTGAAAGAGCCAGAGCAAACAAATGATTGTAAAAGGGCACACTTGAAAACAATTACTTTTCACCCATTCCTTGACAGCCTTGGCTGTGAAACCATCCAAGGTAGAGAGGACTTCTTTGCTTGTCGAGCTATAAGCAAACTTTTAGAAAAACTGATATTACAATGTTTGACTGGGATGTAGTAGCCCCTCATAAACAAGGGGATATTGCAAAAACTAGAAGACAAAGAGTTAAACGTCAACAACAAGATGCAAAAATCTTACTTGAGCCAGTGCAATGTTGTATCTGCTCAATATGGTAGCTCCATTTTTGTTCCCAGAAGCGCAGGCAATGGTAGTGTTTTCATGATAAACACATATCAATAATTCAGTCAAAAATTCTCAAAGACCCAGCATCTTAACCAAGAAGCTCTTATGAAAATGTCTACTGAGCATGCTCAATTTTTTTTTTTTTTAAAAGCTAGCGTTCAGATTTCTGTTAATGTCATAGCCACTCTGTCGTGTAGATAGATGATGGAGTTTAAAAAAGCTGGTTTTGGAACTGTAGTAGAACAGTTTAAAAAACGTGCTTTTAGAAAAGTTCCATTTAAATGTATTCCATAATAGTTGGGCATGTCTTTTATGGAATGACCACCTTGTTCTGTCAAGTATAAATGACATATATTTTGACATTTTTTCTAAACATATATTGATGTGATAAAGCAGATTTGTGAGTTTCATAACTGTTAATCTTTGGTGAAAAACAGTCTGATTTTAAACCCCTGTAAAATAATATTACTTAAAAACTGTAATTTATATTTAAAAAAACCAGGTTCAATGGCTCAGAAATAGCTACTGTGGCATATATGGTCAATTCCTCACATTTATATCAGGTTTTTAGTACTGTTAGTAAAAAAAAACCCAAAGGGAATTAAAAGATATTTTCAAGGAATAGTAAGAAGAGAATAAACCCTTCAGCTGCCTGGAGATTGAAAACTAACCAAAATTCAACTTCCAATTTACTGAATTCAGCCCATTACTACAAGGGTCTCCAGGCATTGAATAATCTCGGTAGCATATATGCCACCAAGACATTGCAAACAGGGTGAATTAAGGACATATTTTCCAGTCCGTATTCTTTTTCTTTTTTCTTTTTTTTCTTTTTCCCAGCTAGACCTTTCAGGTTATCTGTGTGTGGTTAGTTTATAGTTTAATTCAATTATCACACAGGAGCTTAATGACACTGTCTCTAGACAACATGAAGAAATATATCTGCCTTGAATCTCAAACTGCTGCTGCATATGGTATGAATAAAGAGAGATCTGCAGCTGAAAACCTGCAGTAAGACAGTTCTCACTCATCTGGGAATAGAGGGGGTAGGACAAATGCTCCCTCAAAAGGCATGAACATTTGGACAGAGCTGGGGACTGAAGGAGAATGATGTTCTCCAGTTTCACCCATTAGTGAACCAACTAACAAACACAATGGTGTTGTTGTTATTCTTTTGCCATAAGCAACAGGACTCTGTGTGTGGGCAGCAGTTTAGTGGGGAGGAGGATAAGTCGACCCCTTTTTGTCCTATTGATTTTTTCCTATTTGCATGACTTGAGCAAATTAAATGATGCAATATGGCTTTTTGTTACAAAACAAAGTGAGAGATACCACCCAGACACATATGTTGATTCGTAGAAGCTGTTTACATGAGAATGGAGTGAAATCTACCGTGAACTGAGCATAAAAATTCGATTCAGGCTGGGTATTTTTTTTTATTATGCTTGGGCCAGCAAGACTGAAACACAAGTTTTCCAAGAGTCTCTCAGACCTTGACAACTACAGAGTTGTAACTGAGGAATTCTTAATTAAACCTAAACCAGGATGAAAAAAAAAAAAAAAAAGGAGAGAAAAGAAAAAATAAAAAGACACCTGATTGTTTATTTCACGTGCAGTGCTTCTTAATGACATTATTCAGCAACTCCCCTCCCTGTGCGCACCCCTGGATGCAACACTGGTCATCCCAGCAGAGCTTATCAAACACGGTCCGGCAGGGTTAGGTACCGACGCCTTTGAACACCTAAGCAACAGGCTGATAAGCAGAATTTAACTTGCTAAAGGATGCAGGGGAACTGCCAATTTTAAGAAATCGGTGAGCAGAGGAGGTGCTTTCCCCTTCACATGACCGCAGCCTGAAATTGGGCGGCGAGGCTGCCAGGTAACGCGAAGAGGAAGACTGTCTCACCGCACCTTGTGCGAGAAACCGGTCGCCAGCGAGCACCGTCAGACCGGGGTCCCAAAGCGGGAACTTCGGGGGTCTTCTGCAGCTGACAGGCGTAACCGTGAGCGATGCACGGGCCCCGAGGAGGCTGGAGATGACGAAGTTTTGGTACACCGGCACCGTCTACTATCCAAAACCCGTCCTGACTAAACATGCGGAGCAAACTGGACGAGGTTTTTCACCCCAGAAAAATAAACGGGAAACCACCGCCAAGGGACCGGGCAGCCCCGCCGCTGCCAGCGCCCGGACGGCAGCCAAAGCCCGGCCAGCTCC